CGTGTAGAGGAGTAAAAAACTAAGAAAAAAAGTCCTATAGACATATGCTCGTTTTTGCTCCGTTTCAGAGAAATCGAAAAAAAATGTTTTTTTTACCTGCAAGATTAAATGGGGACCGTTTTCTAAATTTCTTGGAGAATGAATTTTCTGACTATTTAGAAAACATCCCATTACAACAACGTACTGAAATGTGGTTTCAATTAGATGGATGCCCTGCTCATTACAGCAGAGTCGCTAGAACCTGGTTAGATAGAAAATTCCCACAACGATGGATTGGACGTGGAGGAGCAGTACATTGGGCAACTCGTTCGCCCGACTTAACGCCATTAGATTTCTATGCATGGGGTACTCTGAAGCAAGAAGTTTATTCTTCGCCTATTCAATCAGAGCAACATTTGAGAAATCGTATCGTAGCTGCAGCGAACAGAATATCGCAAGAACAGTGCCTGGCTGCTACAAGAGCCGTGTTTGACAGATGCAATGCTTGTATTGCTGCAAGAGGTGCACATTTCGAACAAAATCTTCATTAAAAAGTTTATAAATAAAATAATTAAAATAATAAATTAAATATATTTTTTTCTTTTTTCGTGATTTCCTGCGAAACAAAGCAAAAAGGAGCATATGTCTATAGGACTTTTTTTCTTAGTTTTTTACTCCTCTACACGCTCCCGAAGTTTTGCCATTTAATTTGGAAACACCCTGTATATAGGTAAATATTTATACGTACCTATATTCTCTTTCAAATCAGAGAAAACATTTAATGAGTGTCGCACGATTTTAGATAGTAATTGTACGACTTTATTTCTCAACCTTTTATATAACAACGTTTTATAATTTGATAGAGATGATAATCAATCGCTTTACAAATGCAATGGGTAAAAATAATTGTATCTGTATCCATAGCATATACACATCGTCTGCACAATTCATACGATTTATATTCAAGCGCAGAAACACGTGATTCGTTTTGCTTTTTTAAATTTTTTTGTGAGAGTGCCGTTCGCATATACACCTGAAGGGAACAAATTATTTTCAGGTATTCAGTCGTTTTTCCTCTAAACCACCGCCGCGTGACCAATGCTTTTCATGGAATTTCATTTTTGCTATATTATGCAATCAACTTCGTTATCCTTATTATGTCGTTTTATCCGTTATTACAGCTTCATTTTTGCGCTTAAATTTTAAATGCGCTATCCAAGAGTCATTGCCACTTGTAATGTTCTCTGCTTTGAGATAAAAGATTGTAGAAAACTATTAAAATTTTTAATTAGTTATGAACTGATATTAAGTATGAAGTTTTACTTGAAAAAGTAAAATGGATATAAAAAAATTAAAATTCAAACAAAAAAGAGGATGTTGAAATGAAAGTGCAAGTAATTCTCATTTCTAAAAATTAAATTCAATCCTTGTTTGTGATTTCTTCTGAATATGATGTTATATCAAAATTTAAGTCGATGTCATATTCTCTTCTAGAACTAAATAATATTACTAGAAGACTCTTTTTCTAAATTTCAGAGATTTTTGTACTTAAAACTTTTGTAAATTATTAAAAATTCTTGTATTTTTTTATAATACATTTGATGTTATCTGTGCACACCGATTAAAGTGTTAAAAATCTTGATAAATTACAAAAGAAAAAAAGTTATCGACACCACGGACACCTATCGAAACCATCTGCTTCAATGAGTAGACAGGACCTATCAAGCATCTGTTGCAACAAGTTCTTGGAAGTCCGTCGGTAATTGTCAGATGAACGACCGTAATCTCAGATTAATTGAACCTCTTCCTCGTTACTGGAAATCCTGATATAGCTTAATATAGCTCGACAAAGACTAAAGACAGCTGAGACGCGGCTTTTTACACAGTAGAAAGACGATGACGGTAAAATTAAGTTTCTACAAATTCAAAGTACAAAAGGTTTTAGTTTACTTTATCTCCGTAAAATGGAATTATAATGAGATTCTCTTTACTTATTTGCAATCATCACGAATGAATTATATTTTCAAAAAACCACGATTTGAACTTATTACATTCGATAGGAAAAGTGGATATTTTATATCATTAGAGAGCAATACGTTCGTTCGATTTATCAGTTGAATTTTTCTGAGCCGATCTATGCGTCCGCAATGCATCTGTCATTTAGTTTTTATCCCAAACTACCTCGAGTGAAGCGGAATAGTGCAACTGACAAAAATATCAGAACGCGATTTATTCATTCTTTTGCACGCGGATATTATTAAACGAACCGTCATGCCATTGTATTTGCTGGTGTACGCAACCATATGACGTGAGGTTTTAGACAGATTTGTTTAGTACAATAATTAAATAAATTTCCACAATAACATTTATTTCTGTATGAAAATGGACTTGTCGAAAATGAGGTACATGCATTCATGAAAAAGATTCATTGCCTTTTTTTTGAAGCAGCCGTTTTAATTGAGATAAATTGCATCGTTATTTTAACATTTACAACGACCCTTTGTTTTATCTTTAATACGAGTTATTCTCCAAAACACACGGCAAATGATTTAAGCATAACCGAGTGTGTACACTCGTACATACTCGGTTTCAGCAACACAATGGTGGCACGCCGTTACATTAATTGTAAGAGTCATCTTATATTACGGAAAGAAGCTTTTGCATATTCTAGCCTTATATCACTCACACGCTTTATTATAAATGTGCAGGTGGCACAGAGAGCCAAAACAGGAAACCGGAAAAGCCAAGCGAGCGCGCTTGGCTCTCGTAGGGAGAATAAAAGCGCAGTATAAATTGGGGTAAAGCCGTTGGCTCCTTTGTGCCTTCTGTGAATGCAATTCAATAAAGTGTTTAGAGCGAAAGCAGCACAAAAGAAGTCTGGCGATAAATGACAATTTGCTGAAGTTGGCAATTACGGTGAAGTACGCTGCTGCTGAAAGGTGGGCTTAATGGAAAGTTGTTAGGAAGTAGGCAACAATAGAAGATAGACTGATAGAGACGTCAGAGTACGAACTCCTCTATGATTTTTTCCAGGATAATTTGCATGGTCAAGTACTCGCTAGAGAAAGTAACTTCTACAATTTTACACTAAAATAACAAATTCCTCTTAAATCCAATTTATTCTTGTTACACTATTCAAGCCTTGTCCAATTCAAATGATTTATCGTTTTTGCGAACTGTTTGTGATGATAAGTTAGATTTATAAAGTTAAGGTTTCTTGTTGATGCTAAAATACTAGCTTTAAGGAAGTTGTAAGGCAAATGCAATATGTTAAGAATTACTTGAAAAAATTACTATTAATTAGATTATTCTAAATTGCATTTAAAAGTAATACAAAAAAATTAGAGACAATTGACGATCTGGATCAAAAGTTATTTCCATAAAAAGTAATATTTTTTTAATTTGCACTCTAATAGAAATATATGAAACTGTATTACAAAATAATGATAAAAATCTCAATTTTTTTATATAAGAGTACTATATGAATTCAAAAATATTTATGTAAAGTTATATTGAGATGCAGACATTAATTGTTCAGTAAATAAACAAAATATTTATTTGTTACTTATTTGTGAAAACTAATTGGTGAATCTCAATGAAACTTTGCATAAATCATGTTTACTTCATATATTTATATAAAAAAAATTTAGATTTTTGTTATTATTTAAAAAATTTTTGTTTATAACAATAAAGCTAATAACAAATAAAATAAATAATCTATAGAAACGTGATGCTCAATAAAAACAGAATGTTATGAACACAACTTTCACATGTATGTAATTTGTTTAAAGCATAAATATTAATATGTATATGTGTTTTTTGCCCTTACAATCTCCTTAATTTTCAAGCACTAATACGAAAAGCGCGTATTTGACGCAATACCATTTTTAATTTAAACAATAATTTAAAGAATGTTCAGTAATCTTTGTAATTATTTTAATAAGCTTAGTAAAACTTAATTTAAGTTTAAATTTAACGAACGGATATCTGATGAAACATTGGAAAATTTTAAATTACTACAATACGTGTTTCCCGTTATTAATATTTTAATATACGTATTGTGCGCGCATTGTAATATTTTAAACGAGAAAGTACAGTATTGTATAATAACAATATCGGTTTCTAGCTCGTTGAATTATCTTTAACGAGCATTTCGAGAGAAATAGTTTTCGCATTGTTTCCTTACAGTGCAGAATACTTTCGTGCAAAACTAATAACAGCCGTGAAAGTTCTTGATTGGTCATAGCAAATCTAATGAACTGACATCGCCGGTTTGCGACACATCGTTGAATTTTCATCATCTGTAAACTGACAATAATATCGAATAAATGTCGATATAATATCACATGCTGAATGACAGTGTATCCGTTTGCGGAGAGGTTTCCTTCCGTGCTCGTTACATAGCATTTCTTTTTTTTCATCGTCTCGTCGCGAGCAGAAATGGGACAGAACGTTTGCTGTGCAAACTCTAATGAGCCTCTTGTTGCTATCAGACGAGAGTGCGGATGAATATACCTGTTCAGTCTCACGTCGAGTAGCGAGATTCTTGAGTGCGCACTCCTGTTGTCAAGAGAAACCGACCACTATGTATCACTTTTTCCACAAAGAAAGACATGTTGCATCACCGACATTTCTGTCTAACTGCAACTAAAATTCATTTGCACTAGTTCTTGAAATTATCACATTTCAATAAATCAATTTTAATTGGTGTTATTGTACTTGATATTGTCTTTTATATTGTCTCACAAACAAAACCAAAAGGAACAAGTCTTAAACATTATTAGTCATTATTGTGTGCATGCGTGAGTGAGTGCGTGCGTGCATGCGCGTGTGTGTGTGTGTGTGTGTCATTGTTACGAATTCCTTTTATGTATGCTTCATATTGAATTTACGTTTCGAACTGTGCGCATGGTATGCACTACGTATGTGACAGCTTTCTGTCTATATCGCTTGAAGTTTCGCTCGCTTCTGCTTGAATAGGCAACGATCGAGCAGATCCGTGAAAGGCAAATACGCAAAATATAGGTTACATAACGCTTCGTTGCGCTTTTATGCTCTTGGAACATGAGGTCGCAAATATCGAGTTCTTTTTTAAGACATGGGCATCTACCCATACGAGAGGTGAATTGTTATCGACGTCTCTTCCAGTTTGCGTTCTCGTCAAGTTCCTCGTCGAATCTTTTTTTCAGGATGATTGCTCGTACGTTTGGCAAGTTTCCGCCGCGGAACGTTGTGAGTGGGTGAAGAACACTGAAGACTGCTATTCAGACTCAATGATTCAGTACACGGTACTGTTATTCTGCTACTTCAGATCCGAAAACATGGTACTGTTTATTGGCGGCTTGGCCCTTGTACTTTTTTGGTTACTTTATTTATTCTTGATCTTGGGGACTACAGCAGATAATTTGTAAGTTGATTTATTTTATAAGTTGATCTATTTGTAGATCATTGATTAAGAGACAAAATTATCGATGAATTTCTACATATCGAAAATTCTCTATCAAATTTTCTTGTATATTATTTGTCATAACGAATTTTTGTAAAAAAACGAAATAAGTAAACAAAGCGATAAATAAACATAAAATATGTATAATGTATTTATAAAATTAGTTAGTTTTTAAAATAAAGCTCGATTATGAGTGAAAATTATGAGAATACGACGTAAGAGCGAGTAACAATAAAATTACATCTTTTCATGGTACCGAAATTGAGAATTTTGGCCAAGTTCAATCCCGATGAGAACGTGTTACCGTCTACCGAATATAGATGATTACATAACTACAACGAATTTTGACTTCTGGCAACTAACCAAGCCAATAACCGAAAGATTCATGTTTTCCCATATTTCAAACGTCTACGTGCTATGGAGCGGTTTCTTACAAAATGATAAACGAAAGTTTCTCTATTCTTTCGAGTTATACAAATATAGGGAAAATGGCAAATTGCCATGTTTGTAGAATTGCATCCAATAACAAAGTTTTGGAATCTCGAAAACCATAATTTTCTAGTTGTATTTAAATACTTAAGTATCGGTATTGTTATAAAAATTAGCTTTTATTTCATTGTTTTTTAATTTGTTAAATTATATGAAATTATTGTATGGTATACATTAAAGAATATGTACCAAAATTTATTATAATAATATATTGTCAGCAAGATCAACATGCATAATGTAATATAAAATACAAGCTATAAATTTATAACGCGATTTACCAAACTATTATATAAGGAACAGATGTACTGAATGTACTCGATATTTCGATTGCTCTTATGCTGGTAGCTCTCTCTCTTTTAAATCCCTAATATCTCTCAAAATTGCTGAGATTTTCGTAACATTTATTTTGTTGCGTTTAATGATAAAAATATGACGGTTCTTATGTTATTAAGTTTGTTGGAGTTTAGCTTTGATATGTGTAATCAGTATAATAGTTAAAACTCAGTTAAGAGAGTAAATTTACTTTTCTGTAAATAACATACTCTCTGCATGCAGTAAAACAGCAAATGCTAAATGTACACAGGATTAGTTTAATAATATATGCATTTCAAATGAGCGACTTGCAAATGTCACTTCCTTATCAAGCTAATTGCTTCACGTACTTTACGTTCCAAATATAGCTGTTACATATAATATATATAATTTATATATATAATTACGTGTAAATTGCCATTTAACATATAGATTTTAATGTTATGACCAAAAAATAAAATTTAACAAACAAAAAAATTACATATTATAGAAAAATTTTATAAAAAATATATTACAATTATAAAAACAAGGAACGTTCATTTTAATAATGTTTAAATCGAAAATCTAATTTGACTTTCCAAGACTGTTCTTGCTCTATCAATAAATTCTTCATTACAGGGTAAACTGAAATACGTTAGACATAAATATTAGTAGCATAAATGATTCATTACGACGTTTTTATTCCAGTTTTTGTCCAGCATTGGCAGTAATAGCCAGTGTAATGCATCTATCGGATAGCATAGCAGGGGTGACAATATTGGCATTCGGAAACGGCGCGCCTGACATCTTCACGTCCCTCGTGTCGAGAGGCGACGAAGCGATAATAATGTTCACTGAATTAATCGGCGCAGGTGTCTTCGTGACCTCGATGATTGCCGGTTCCGTCGCGATAACTAAACCCTTTAAAGTTTCGCTGAGGTCCCTTATGAGGGACGCCTGTTTTTATATCGTTTCCGTGTGCTGGATAAACTACGTGGTGTGGGATGAGATGGTTTACCTCTGGGAAGCCGTAAGTACGTCTACTATCTTTATTTGAATCCGATAAGCTAATATTGGTTGACTCTTTCTCACTCTTGTCGCTTTATGCTACGATTCTGTATTTGCCATTTTGATACTAATCGATTATATCATATTTATAACCACATTCATAAATACGATAAAAATAGACGTAAATTATTTCTTTTTTCTTTACCGGTTTTATCAATTTTTGTAACTATTGACTTGCAATTGACAGAAAGTTGTAACAAGCACAAACTTTATGGAAAAAATATTTTACACACAAAAAAGAAATTACATAGGCATCTTTTTGTTCATAGTTATATGACTGTTATAAGATGTTATCGATTATTATCTCATGTAAGAGAAACACGATTAATTATTATTCGTACTTCGTACTCGAATACTAGTAATTTATGCATGAATACCTGAATAGAATAAATATGATCTCGATCGTTCCATTCTATGTCAACTGAACAAATGATTGACTCATGTTAGTAATAAGTTCCATAAACTTTACTTAAGCTAATCTTTGCGAATTATTAATAGATGAAAAAAATTGTTATAATACTGACTATTGCGATATATTTACATTTATATATATATACATATACAATATAATATTATATTATTCAAATTAAACATTTAAATGCTAATTAAATGCTAAACAAAGTGGTTAAATTGTGATATTGATTTTGTTAAAAATCGGAATAATTATAGAGTAGTATTCGGCAAAATTTATTGATATTTCACGTACCAAATTGGTTACGTCATGAGCGAGAAAGTTTATCTGCGGGAAGCCATAAGTGGTTTCATTCTGGAATAACGATAATTCTTCGGCGAATTTAATTAAGCTACGCCGCAGTCTCTCTCCACCACCTGCCTGGCTGGGCTTGCAATCTGACTGTCGATGAATTTTTGCGGGATTCCGCGGCAAGGAATTCGTTTCACCGGGAAAACAGGGATTATTGTTGCAGTGGATAAAGTCCATGGAAATAATCTTGCGCCCGAACAAAGCGGAATAGACGGAAGCTATTATTAAGCCACGCATAAAGCTGTGTCAAATATCATGATTTATCTTTTTTCATATTGCACGGCGCGATAGTAAATAGATAAACAGACAGAAATTCAATTTTAATTTATTTAGATCAGTATTTCTCAAACTTTTTCAGACCACTACTATTTTAATTCTCTATAAAATTATTTTTAATAAATTCTAATTTCCCATACTTCTTAGACATATGTAATAATAAGATGATCTGAGATAATGATCTATATTATATACAATAAAAAATAAAAATAATTTATTATACATTTATTAATATTTTTTAAAAATTACAAAATAAGAATTCCAATTATTTGTATAGTTTTGCAATATATATACACAGTTCTTATTAATTTAATTAATATAAAAAATATTTTATTGATATAAAAAAAATCTATGTATACGTTTATAGCTTTATATACTTAATAAACTTTGTAGAATAATTATGTATAATCTCGTATCATTGCAATTTTTTTTGTTATCTTCTTATCCCTAACTCTCTCTCCTAGATAATTCGAACAATCCCAAGAGAAGTGTCCACTTTGAGAAATATCTGATCTAGGTGCTTGATAATTCGCCCGAACAAAGCCAATTTTAATATATAATTAAATATAAATGACACGTAAAAAACTTTCGCTGCATCTATTTACTATTTGCTTTATTAAACATTTTTTAAATAGATTCCTTTCCCGGCATTATTACTTTTCTGTTTGTATATTAAAAAGAAAGAGTAATTAAGATTTTTTTTCTTTAATTAGAACATATGAAAAGGCGGATATTATCAAGTTTTTTTGCGTAATATTATGTATGTGGATCATTCATTATTCTAGCGGTATGTGTAGGAAAATAACCTTGCGAGCCAAGCGACATTAATACTTCTTAATGCTGATATATTTTAATTGCAGGTTTTATTCTGGTCTACATATTGTTCATTGTGGCGGTCGTGATAATGCAGGTATACGACACCAGAGAGGAGACTCTGAAAAGTACGTTGTGGTATTCCTCGATTCGCGAATCACGCGAGAGTCTTTAGTTTTTACTTTTTATTTTAGACAGTACGAAAACTCGTAACTTTCAAAAAGTACACAAGTTTACATTTAACAATGTTTTTCTCGAATGTAAATAAAACTTTACTCTCTGCGGAAGTCTAATTCGCGAGGAGAAAGATATATTCCCGAGATACCTCTATACCCGAAATTTTATGATCAGTGTGCGTTCAAGAACTTCTATTTCTATTCTAAAACGAGAAATATCTCTCTTCATAACCCATGAATTCGCTGCAATGCGAAAAAGATGACTAGCTCCTTCCTTATCGCCTACAGAAAATTTTCACCATACTAAGTATCGATCTCCTTTCCCGAGAACATTCTTATGTACTTTCAGCCAGAATCCCAAGTGTGCCCGATCCAGACGTCCTGCATACTTACTTGGCGAACAGAGACACAGGCGCCATTCCCAAGATTCCCGGTAGAAGCCGACCTTTTGGCTTACATGCCAAACTAGGTACCAAGCGTCGTTTTTACGACTCATCGCACATATCCTTACATCTTTAGTTCTTTTGAATTTTTCAATAGCTTGAATTTTTTTCCGGAACGATGCGTTTTTTTCGCTTCGTAAGTAAAGTGTTCTGACTTCTAGTAAAGTGTTCTATTTTCTATTCGCATGTTTAAGATATGGTCCATCATTTACAAGTAAAACTTGAATTGTAAAATTAATTCTTTGCCAACTATTTTATAATTACCTTCACTGTACGCATTTGCACGTTTAGCTCATAGTTTGTAATCAAATATGTGATGATAAATATTTTTAATATATGAGAGGGAAAATCTTTGATATTTATTCTATTTTTTGTTTAAAATCAAATTTTTTAAATATTGTGGACTTGTTTTGTTCTTGCTTTGAAATTTTCATATATGATTTAATTTAAATATTTCTATGTACTCATATATATTTGTATGGGCTAGATATCGCAATCGCTACAGAGTTAGAGAGAGCCAAGATACGGAGTGGTTCCGTCCAGTTAAGCCCGGAAATTAGTGACTATGTTTCCGACCGACCGAAAGATCTTTTCAGAGAATTTTTGTATGATGTCAATCCAATCGGCAAAGAAGATTGGGAGAAATCGGGAATAATGTTTAAGATCGTCTTGATTATACGTTCACCATTCATGTTACTGTTACAGCTGTTTATACCGGTTGTAAATCCTACCGTCGAAAAACAAGGCTGGTCAAAGCTACTAAACTGCTTCCAGTTATGTGTAACACCTACGATAGCGCTATTTTTATTAAATGGTTAGTTTTATTCATTTATACTGCTCATAACAATATAATACATAGATCAGACCTGTCCAATTTTAGCTCCGGAGGCGAAACGCAAGGCTATTGATATAAAAAATTCAATATGGATAACGTTTCGAGGACTGTGAAGTATTGATATGCGCATAAGCAACGCATATCAACACGTTATAGTTCCCAAAATCTTATCCATATTGAACTTTTTTGTGTCGATGATCTTGCGTTTAGGAGTTAAAATTGGACAGGCCTGACATAGATAATTATAAATCATGTACACATTAATAATAAGCTATTTAAGATAATTGAATTTGATTTGTGAACTTCTCTCTTCTTAAATGCTTTTTAACTTGACAATCATATATGTATTTCTTGAAAAGTTATTTAAAACAGAAGATAAAAAGATATAACCGAAATTTATTTTTTTATTAAAATATGAAAGGTTTTACTTATTGCTTTTTAATATTTCTTCCGTGCATTTTCTTGCGAACAATTGTCCATGATATTACAGAAATATTCTCCGTAACGTCTTCCATTGCAAAACGATAGATGTGAAATTCAGATGAGCAGTCAATAATAATACATAATCGTCATATCGACACTTGACGGCATAACAGCCGGTACCACTCAACTTCAATTTCATTTTAACTGTTTTATTGCAGTTTGGCAAACGACTTTTGGCAATTTGCCGCTGATGCCGTTATTCCTCGTTATCGGTTCCATAATTGGTGTAATTGTATTTCTAACGACGCACGTGGATCGTGTTCCAAAGTTTCATAATGTGAGTACTTTTCTTTCCTCTTTGTGCGGATGGTAGGAATTTTTTAAGTATCTACTATAACATTCAAAGATACGAAAAATCCGTATTCGACAATTTATTGATAGCCAAATATGCAGAATTAATAATATTCCAGATATTTGCATTTTTCGGATTTTTGGCTGCTATGTTGACAGTTTATTTAGTGGCCGGAGAAGTCATGGGGGTACTTCAATGCATAGGATACGCATGCAGTATATCTGACGCCATGTTAGGAGTCACTTTTCTTGCATGGGGAAACAGCATCGGAGGTGAGCAACATGAAAAATGTTTTTTTTTTTTAAGTTAAAGAAGTGTATACGGTAAACCAAAAATATAGTCAACAAAGATTGTACTTTCTTAAATTAACTTTTCAAATGCGATAAAAGAAACAATATAACATAAATTGTAGTAATTGTGACGTTATGGCATTTTTCGATAATTATATTTCTTTAAAGTTTTAAATTAATGTTTCGTTCGTTAATGATTCCGTGTTTAAAATATTTGTATCAGCTAATTCACTGCTTAGATTTAATAGCGAACGTCGCTATCGCCAGACGGGGATTTCCACGCATGGGATATGCAGCTTGTTTCGGCGGGCCAATGTTTAACACTCTACTGGGACTTGGGCTGACTTATGGTATCGCTGCAGCCACTGATCCTGAACAACAGACCAAGATTAGGATCAGCGATATGGCACCCGGCTGCCTAGCTTTTCTCCTGTGTTCACTAGTAGCTACTATAATTTACCTGAACATCACGGGAGCTACCGCACGTTACTCTTACGGCGGCCTCTTATATTCAATCTACTTTGCTTTCATTCTCATACAATTTTTAAGCGAATTCCACGTTATACATCCACTTGGCACTGATCACAGACCTGATGTGTAAAGGCTATTACTATCTACGGCATTTAACGTACTTTTTATATGTAATTATACCATAATGTATATAAATGCAAAATAATAAAAAGGTCTATTTGCAATTAGTTAAGAGAGAATCATCCCATATTTTCCTCCATTTTCACAACGTTAGTGTTGCAGGATAAGGTGAAAGAATAAAGAGTAAAGAGTAAAAAATATGGAAAAGCGCATCTCTCATGAATTATGTTAAATGAGTCAAGATTATATGGATAAGAGGAAAGATGCATTTTTAACATGGAGCAGAAGGCGAGCTTCGTAGGAAAACGTTTGGGTACCGGATATATACGAGAAGGAAAAGACGGGCCGGCGAGCGACGTCAGGTCGTTTTTAGACATTTCCCTAGAGAGAACGAGGTGTCCCGTTTCCGACCGAAACCGGTTAGTATGGCCACCATAACACCGAAACGGAAACCACAAGTCATGAAGCGGTTAGGAGTCTTGGTACGCGTCAGTTTTAAATTTTACATTGCGCCATATATCATGGTAACCTCGAGTACTACACAGACCTTCGTAATTGAATCCGTTATTAGGTGAGGGACACAGTTCCTATGTGCAAACATTTCTTACACAACGTTTCTCATTTTCTTTCAAACGCAATAAAAGAAGTGGACGTTAAATTATTTTTATCTTTTCATATCTGCCTTCGTCTATATGTATACACCCGTTTAATCGATCATGAAGAGTGTCCCACTTCTGTCATATTGTCTTGAAATAACTCTTCTTTGACAAATTTATCGTCGATTTATAATCTTTAACAGAAATATCGAGTAATTCATAATTTTTTTTTGGAATGATTAGCCACTTCATTTTGTAGCTAATCAAGTTTCTCATTGTCAAAAGAAAATAGATGATAAAATATTCTTTAGTTAATCTCATATAGAATTTACATTAACAAAACATCAATTTTTAAAGCACGATTATAAAAAAACTTCAAAATTCTAAACAATGAAAAATTATGGCGACCACAATACAAATTTAATTAAAAAATTTCACGTTTAACACACACAAAAGAATAGTTTTCTATTCGTAAATATGTTTGTCGTCAAATATCTTTTATAGGAAATAGAAGGGAGTCAAGAGCAACAGATGTAACATTGACGTTATTCGACCTCTTCCACACCTTTTCCACTTTCTGTCTCCTTTGCTACAGATATTGCCGGAGAATTGCTCCTGCTAGTCTCCTTCAATGTGTGTACCAAGATAGGTCTCCATTGTCTTCACGCGAAGTTTAATTCCGAACCACCTCTACCTTCCGTTTCCCTTTTACCCTATCAAAGTACCGATAGAACAAGAAGGGAGATAGACCAAAGTTTTGCCATTGCAAAATTTGGATTTCCTTTATGTTAGTATCTGCGTACGTAAAGAGAACCTATTTTGAGAAGAAGCTTTAGCAAAGACTTCACGAAATAGTTTTCTTTATGTATATTGAAAGGATACGAAGGGATTTATCTTCACTGTTTAGGTCAATCTATCGAATTCAATATGTTATGTACATTATTTGTTATCACTTTTGTTTCTGAGCCTTGAATTTTGATATTGTATATTGGAAGAATACAAAGAGATTTATCTTCACCATTTAAATCAATTTTTCCACAATTCAATGTATTATAACAATAAATTACATGAGTGTCACCTTTGTTTCTGAGCTTCGAATTTTGATTACAGCATGGTCGACATGTGACAAAATGTGCGCATCCCCGACAAGGTAATTCATTATTCTCAATTAATTTGTCGCACAGAATGTATAGGCGCGACAACACCTGTTGTTCCCGATATACATAAATAGTATTTAATTGTGTGCAATTAATGTTCATCAATATAAAATATACACCCCATTTAACATTTGCCGGAAGTGTACGCTGTTGAAGAGAGCCAACAAAAATTATATATAAAGGATTTAGTTAAATATTTATCTCGATCAAATTAATCATTTCGTTAAAATGAAAAGCATATTAATTACTAGCGTTGTGCAACAGAATGTTCCATTAAAAACATAAAAAAAGCAATTTTATAAAACATAAAATATCAGATTGTAGCGTAAAATGACACAGTATTATATTTCTCTCTCTCTCTCTCCCCCCTTTCTTCCCCTCTCTCTCTCTCTCTCTCTCTTTTTCTTCATTATGAATCGTTCTTAAATATACAAAAGTCAATGAACAAGTATTAAGAATCCATTATAGAAATTAAGTTGGCGGACAATTGTCTTTTGGAGATACAGACTTCCTTATATGTTTAGCTATTCTTACGGCATTTTATCTAATTATTTTTGTGTTATATTAGTCATTGATAATACCGAAGATAAATCTTCATAGCAAGTATTCTACTTTTTAATGAAACGAAAATTTGCTGACGAATATTGAATAAGTTTGTTTGAAAGTAAAGAAAACTTTATCGAACCATATTTTAGAGTCGACCCTTCGTCTAGACGAAAGACTGGATCGGTGCCCAGCATCCGTAGATAAGATTCCTGTCTAGCCTTTTCCGTGCCAACGCGAGCTAACGACCCTCTCATCCGGATCGCTCGTTCAAGGGTAGCAAACGCAGAAAATATTCAACATTACCAAATCGAGCAACGTACGAAAGAAACATTATCGTCTTTTTCATAGCATCTATAGATGCGTTTCTATTATTTATAATGCTTAAAAAAACGTGAAAATAATTCTTCAATAGAAAAAGAGAGAAAAGTATTAATAGACGCACAAATATAAATTGTAACAAATTAAATTATTTAAGTATATAATCCCTTCTCTCTCTTCTTTTAAAAAATATCATCAATTTGTACATGTAGTAAAATATCATATTAAAATAGTACTCGTGGCAGTGAACTCTAATGTAGTTTAATGTTAAACGTTTGCCCAGAGTACACTTCGTCGACATATCAATTATCTACTTTCGTGTAACATTTATGGTATTATATTACTCTCCGACAGCGCAGGTATCGTTTAATCATGGACAGATATGGAATTAACAGCTAACAGACGATTAATTAATCAAAATTAAACATGTGCCTACGTAAAATGGTATGTAATATTTTTGTGTGTATTATAAATATATATACAGGGTGTTTCCAAATTAAATCGCAAAACTTCGGGAGCGTGTAGAGGAGTAAAAAACTAAGAAAAAAAGTCCTATAGACATATGCTCGTTTTTGCTCCGTTTCAGAGAAATCGAAAAAAAATGTTTACATTTCTTGCCATATCTAGCACCGACATATTTGATTACATTTTCCACTTTCTGTTATGAATTTGTCAGTCGCTCTTTGAAAGCCTTTAACAGTAGATGAATTTTGTCTTTTGCAATATGCCGCGTACGTATTCTAATAGTGAATATGCTGATATGGTTTTTGTATACGGTTTCTGCAACGGTAATGCTTTAAAGGCGGTGCGAGAATATGCACGACGATTTCCAAACAGAAGAGTGCCAAACCGAAGAGTGTTTATGTTGACATTTAATAGATTGCGAGAGACTGGAACATTTTCAATTCGACAAGAAAACAACCGATTTCAAGCAGCGTTACGAAGAGATTTGCAGGCAGGGAATCGTATTTTACAACATTTTGACAATCATCCTGAGACCAGCGTTCGGAATGCGTCGGCTGTATTGGGAGTGTCACCACAAACAATTTGGCGAACTGTAAAAGGAGATAATCGCTATCCCTACCACATTCAAAAAGTGCAAAATTTATTACCTCAAGATCATTGGAACAGATTGAACTTTTGTAACTGGTACCTTCAGACATGCCACAATGATATTTTATTTCCATCTAAAATAATGTGGTCAGATGAGGCAACATTTACCAGAGGTGGAATAATTAATCAAAGGAATTATGGGCTCATCAAAATCCCAGGTCTGTTAGAGAATACAAATTTCAGCAAGAGTTTTCTGTTAATGTCTGGCTTGGAATTTGGAACGACGTTTTAGTGGGACCGTTTTTTTTACCTGCAAGATTAAATGGGGACCGTTTTCTAAATTTCTTGGAGAATGAATTTTCTGACTATTTAGAAAACATCCCATTACAACAACGTACTGAAATGTGGTTTCAATTAGATGGATGCCCTGCTCATTACAGCAGAGTCGCTAGAACCTGGTTAGATAGAAAATTCCCACAACGATGGATTGGACGTGGAGGAGCAGTACATTGGGCAACTCGTTCGCCCGACTTAACGCCATTAGATTTCTATGCATGGGGTACTCTGAAGCAAGAAGTTTATTCTTCGCCTATTCAATCAGAGCAACATTTGAGAAATCGTATCGTAGCTGCAGCGAACAGAATATCGCAAGAACAGTGCCTGGCTGCTACAAGAGCCGTGTTTGACAGATGCAATGCTTGTATTGCTGCAAGAGGTGCACATTTCGAACAAAATCTTCATTAAAAAGTTTATAAATAAAATAATTAAAATAATAAATTAAATATATTTTTTTCTTTTTTCGTGATTTCCTGCGAAACAAAGCAAAAAGAAGCATATGTCTATAGGACTTTTTTTCTTAGTTTTTTACTCCTCTACACGCTCCCGAAGTTTTGCCATTTAATTTGGAAACACCCTGTATAATATATATTATATATGTACACACACATACCATATGTGATTAATTCGCATACGATAAAGTGTACGATAGATATAATCATGGTTTATCATAAATTATATACTTATTCTGGATGTTCTCAAACGCTTGGGAACTCAATAAAGCTCGGATGCCCGACTATAATGTATAACATTACTTTTATTTTGATGATATCGAGGTCTATGAAACCTCCAATCGATGCTCGATATCAAGACTAAATAAAGTATCCGTGGTACCGTTATTACTTCCGGCAAACTTCTGTCATTAATTCAACTGGAGGACTTTAAAGGGAAACGCCGCTGTAATATCTGTCTCGTGTTTGCCGTCGTTCAAGTTTTTATTCTCACCGCAAAATAACTTTCGAGAGATATGTTCGATTGCAGTTCCACTTATAGCACTTTTATAC